CGTTTTCCCCTTTTTCTGCTATTTCGGGCGAGATTTTAGCAGTTTTGTTCTGAACTTCTCTGATAAGGATTTAAAGGCAATTTTTATTGCCTACAATGACACTACAGCCTTGACAGAGAGGCTGTCGGCTCCGACTGTGGTTGCCAGCGTGTTTACGTCAAAAGTTGGTTTATTCATTGCTGAATCTATTATACGTTTATCGATTACAAATTCAAAGTAAAATTAGTCTTTCTATAAGACTTTCTTACACAATGAAAACAAGAAAAAAATTATAACTCTCTTCAAACACACGCAGAGGACGTTTATCACCCGCTGCTTGCTTAAGATTTTTGCCTGTGCCGGGGACGCGTTAGTCCGTAGACCGTCACGGATCAGATCCGGTTGACAGAGTGATTATTTAAAGCTCTTACTTCACAAAGGAAGTAATCGCAGAAGTGATAATCTTAACCAAGTGAGATTACGATTTTTCTTGAGATCAAAACCAAGTTTGATCGGGAGGAAAAGTGAAACGAGCCTCAGATCCTTTGAATAACTCTCTCTTTATGCTGAAGTTGCCAATATCTGCTAGCCCTCCTCTGAAATTCGTGCTCCACTCTTCAATTTGACAGCACCTCGCCATCTGATTTCAGATTCCCTGCGTATAGGACCCTAGGCTTGTGTTTATAGGCTTTGGATGCAATATTTTCGGATAAGAATTAATGATTTGACGTTATCCTCAGTTAATAACTGTTTAACCACATTTAGGGATAGCTTCAAAACAGTTGGGGAGGCTTTGGAACGAAAAAATCCCGAGAAAACTATCGAAAAAATGCATTTTTAGCATTTCTGGGCGTGAGCTACCAAATGGTGGCTCGGCCTTGGCCGAGTCGTTTTCGACGCGACTCGGCCGCCAGAGGCTTTTCTGGTTTGTTCCTGTTCTGCTGCTACGCGTATTTCACTATTTCGCTGACTTGTACGCTTCACCAATTTGCTTCATGCATTTTGTTAACTTGGAGGCAGCTGACGAGTGCGCGGGTCACTTAGAGCTGGCTGGTGAGAGCATGAGCCACTTAGAGCTGGCCGGTGAGTGCGCGGGCCACTTAGAGCTGGCCGGTGAGTGCACGAGCCACTTGGAGGTGGCTGATGAGCGCGCGAGACACTTGGAGGTGCTGATGCTACGTCATCAACGGTTCGTCGCTTTGTTGTTTCGACGGCTCATTGTCACATCATCTGACGGTTCGTCGCTCGATGGCTCGTCATCTCGAGCTGTGTTCGAGGACCTATAGGCAATTTTTGACACCTACAGTTGCTCATTTTGATCTTGAGTTACAACATATGAATGTTAAGACTGTATTTCTCAATGGGGACATTGATGAGATGATTTATATGGTGCAATCAGAAAACTTTATGTTAGGAGACCTAAAGAATATGGTTTGCAAATTAAGAAAATCCATTTATGGACTCAAGCAAGCTCCTCGTCAATGGTATCACAAGTTTCAATAAATAATTATCTCATTTGGTTTTGAGATGAGTATTATTGATGATTGTGTATATCACAAGTTCAGTGGGAGTAAGTATATTTTCCTGGTTCTGTATGTCCATGACATATTGCTTGCCACTAATGATATAGGCATATTACACGAAACCAAGAGATTTCTATCAAAGAATTTTGAGATGAAAGATCTTAAAAATGCCTCTTTTATATTAGGAATCCAGATATACCAAGATTGAATCCAGATACACCGAGATCGTTCTCGAAGTATACTTGGATTATCAGAAAAGAGCTATATCGATAAAATACTCAAAATGTTTCTCATGCAAGATTGCAGACCAGATGACACCCCTGTTGCTAAAGGAGTCAAGTTCAGTCTCAATCAGTGTCCTAAATGTAACTTTGAAATTCAAGAAATGCAGAAGATTCCCTATGCTTCAGCTATAGGAAGTCTAATATATGCTTAGGTGTGTACGCGTCGGGGGTATTGAGTATATTATTTATATGTTAGGTAGATACTTAAGCAATCCTGGTATGAACCATTGAATAGCAGTTAAAAGGGTTATGAGGTACCTGCAGGAAACAAAAGATTATATGCTCACATACAAAAAATCAGAACAGTTAGAGGCCATTGGGTATTATGATTCTGATTTTGCTGGATGCCAAGGTAGCCGAAAGTCTACATCAGATTATATTTATATGTTAGCAAGAAGATCTATATCATAGAAAAGTGTCAAACAGACACTTGTAACTTCCTCCATTAGGGCAACAGAGTTTGTAGCTTTCTATGATGCATCTAATTATGGAATATGGTTGTGAAATTTTATCACTGGACTGCGCATTTTGAAAAATGTTGAAAGACTATTTAAGTTATTTTGTGACTATAAATCAGTAACGATGTATCCCAATAACAACAGGAGCTCATTTAAGTCAAAACACATTGACATTAAGTTCCTAGTTGTGAAAGAAATGGTGTAGAGTGGACGGATATCCATAGAGCACATTGGAACAAACTCCATGATAGTAGATCCTCTTGCAAAAGGATTGCCACACAAGGTCTTTCATGAGCACACTGCTCATATGTGTGTAGTATTATTTGAGGATATCATGATTTAGTGGGAGTTTATAGTTTTTTGGTGCTTTATGTTTGTTTTTTTGTTTGATCAGAATAAAGTATTCAGTTTAGACACTCTCTTATAGTATGTTTGGAATTAACATCACTAAAGTTTAAGGTAGGACCAGTTAAAAATAGACATGTACAGATCACATTACATGTATTTTTATGCTACACATCCATGATTGATCTATGTCATTTGACAAGATTGGTATATGTGACCATTGATGAGTTTAGTCACGATAATTGTGACGAAGGACGCTTTGATCCTATATAGATATTATCGATGGATGAGATTGTTTGGAAATACCCTTATTTGTGATAACAATTTTTGAGCTCATAAGGTTATACACACTTTAAGAAAACATATGGTGCCCAAGTGGGAGATTGTCGGATTAAATCTAATTATGGACACATATGTTAAATTATTGTGTAATGCTATCTTTAAAGTTAACCCACATAAAGTGATCAATCAATTAATTGGGTTAATGAGTATTTAAATATGTCATGGGCTAATTATGTAGATACCAAATTGCAAGTCTAATTTGATGAGGGGACAAATTAGAAAATAGCAATATCTATATAAAGGGGTTACGGTCCCTAATCTAAGGGTGACGTTCTCTGTTTTCTTATTCCCCATCTAGAGAGAAACAAAAGGAGAGACCCTTTAGATTAGAAGATCTCAAACCCTAATTCAGAGTTTCTTCATGGATTCAGGTATGCTTCTGCTAATTCTTCTTGTTAATCTCCTCTTTGAATTAATCATGGTTCTTAATTATGTTGTATGATTAAGATCGAATAAGGATAACAATTTCATCCAAAACCATTTGTCGAATATTCGTGATCATATCCGATCCGATTCTCAAATATCCGAACCGTTTCTGTTTCCGATAAGTGCAGATATGGTTAAGATTTTTTATTACCGAAGATGATCCGTATCCGTATCCGTTTATAAAAAATGGATATGGATATGGTAAGTGTCATATCTAGGGCTGAGCACGATTCGGTCCAAACCGAAAAAACCAACCGAACCGACCCGAACGGATCCGAAAAAATTGGTTTTAAGAGTAGGGCGGTTCGGGTCGGGTTGAAAACTTTTTAACCCGAACCAACCCGAACCGACCGAATACCCCATGGTCTAAATACCCATTCTTCTCAAACCCGACCCGTCCCCAAAGACAGTCTCAAATTCTCAAACCCTAAATGCCTAAACTTCCCTTCCTACTTTCCCAGTCGCCTCCTCAGATCCTCTCTCCCACTCTCTCTCACTCCTCAGTCCTCAGTTCCACGGTCCACCTCTCTCACTTCCTCTTCCTCTTCACTTCCACAGTCTTCATGGCCGAGGTTGAAACATCTCCTCAGGCTCAGTATCTGTCTCCGGCTTTGGGGGGACACCCGCACCCGTCGTCGTCACCGAGGCCGAGGTATAAACTTTATCTTTTGCTTTTCTTCAAGCTTCTAACTGCGATTATTCTTTAATTTTAATTTATTTCCTTGGATACAACAGCTAGTAAGTTGAGATATCGGCCTATCAGTTTTCTGTTCATTTATGCACTCCTATTCTCTTATGATTTTTGAGTTTGTGCTTTGATAACGATCCTTAATTTGTTTTCTGGTATATATGTTTTCATGGATGATGATTTTGTTCCTTTTTCCCCCTTTTGTTTTTCCAAATTAAGTCGACAACCCCTAAAATACTACTATTTAATATTCATGTGATCCCTTACTCGTCACGATATATTCTATTTGATTTAGTATTTGGCAAGTCTACTGTTTAAATCATTCTGAAAATGAAGTTAGAACCGAACAAACCGAACCGAACCGTACCGAACCGACTTGCAACGGTTCGGTTCGGTTTTGAATTATATGTGGTTCGGTTCGGTTGTTCAAAATTTGGTAAAAACCGACCCGAACCGAACCATGCTCAGCCCTAGTCATATCCGAACCGTATCCGCTCTGATAACACCCCTAGCTACAGCACATGATGTGACCCTTCTTAAGACTGAACCACATTGGGAAAAAGTAAAACGGCTGCAGCACATGAAGATGCATTGACACAGATTTCCCCAAATAAAATGGTGACGAGTTATAAGGACTAATTTGAAATAACTTATAAAATTTGAAGGACCTAATAACAATCTCAATAATAAGGTACTATCCCAAAATATTAAAGGTGTTCAGGGACTAATATCAAAAAGACCACCTTTTCCTCCACGTTAATGGAGGTCACGGGAAGCAAACCCCAGCACTCCGCTTCCTTCCACATCACAGCTTGACACGCGCCCAGCTCTGCAGCTCCTCCAATAATCACCGTCAGTTGACTAATATCAGCGGCTGAGATCGAACCGTACTCCTTGCAATCCGTGCAAGGGTATTTACGTACTTATCTAATTTCTGAGATATTTAATTCGTCTTCCATCCCTTTGGACAGTAGCGTGTCTCTTCGCCTTCGCTCTCGCTGTAAAAGGAGGTCACGAGCTCGCGACCCCTTTTTACCTTCATCATCAAAAACCCTAACCCTCGAAAAAGAGCTCAATAACGGAGAGATCTGAGGTCTAGAAGCGGTTCGATCACGGGCGATCGCTGTCTCTTTCCTCCAACTGCACCGGATTCTGAGGTGATTGAAGACGCCACGCTATCGGATCGATTAGGGATTTGATGTGAAGAGAACTGTAGAGAGGGAGAGGGAGCTAGAGAGAGAGAGATTGAGGAGTTCGTCGTCGTCGACGGATGGATCGCCAAGCGGTGACGGTGGGCCCCGGGATGGATCTGCCGATAATGCACGATAGCGATCGGTACGAGCTTGTGAGGGACATCGGAGCTGGGAATTTTGGGATCGCGAGGCTGATGAGGGATAAGCAGACGAAGGAGCTTGTTGCTGTTAAGTATATCGAGAGAGGCGAAAAGGTTGGTTCAATTTCTCAAATGAAGTATATCGAGTTTGGTTTCTTTTGCTTTTTTTGATATGGGTATAATGCTATTTTTGGCGATTGGTCCATTTTTGTTCTGTTATGCTCTTTTGGGAACATGGGAAAAAATTGGTACTTTATTTGACATCAATAATTGCAAGCCTACAAATGTAAGGAAAGGATCAAGATGCTACCTTGTTCTGAGAGCGCTAACGTTAATTGTTTATGTTTTGAATTTTGCAATTAAAATAGAGTTTTACTGTGTTCGATCACTTTCATAACCCAAGAAATGAACTGTTTGTGGGGGTATCATAATTTTATTACCGAAGGGTACTTTTTTAATCAACTTCGAATACATTCTTGAATTTGTTTGAATTGAAATATGTTAGTATTTTTGGAGGGATTAGTTATCGGTTAAATTTCAGCAATTATTATCGGTTAAATTTTCTTTAAATACTGTGCTTTACTTTATGTGGCATCAATATTTGCAACCCTACAAATTGAAGGAAAAAATATTTCTTTCTTTGCGCTAATGATTATACGTTTAGTTAACCTTAATTAGTGACAGCGTTTCGTCTTTGGGAGTGCTGGAGTAGTTGTTTTTACTTTGATTTTTGCAACTAACCTATTTGAAGTTTCTCTGTTTGATCAATTTCATTACAGTTTTCATTGGTAGTGTGAGACACGTGGGTAATTTGGCTTGTAAAAATTGATTCGCTTATCGTTACCAATGACACATTAACAACAACATAATTTTGATTGATTTTTTTTCTAGAACTAGTGAGAAATGCTAGTCAATTATATTATCTTACTCTTCACTATTATTTATGTTTTCAAATATCTTGTTTTTGCAGATAGATGAAAATGTTCAGCGTGAGATTATTAATCACAGATCATTGAGGCACCCAAATATTATTAGATTCAAAGAGGTGTGTTGATTTTGATAGTTTCATTTGGACAGAGTTGGAGAGATATAGGTGATGAAATTAACTGATATTACGTTGCTGGAGTTACATTTTAGGTCATTTTAACTCCAACTCATCTAGCAATTGTTATGGAGTATGCTTCCGGTGGTGAGCTTTTTGAGCGCATCTGCAATGCCGGTCGATTTAGCGAGGATGAGGTTAGTTCACTTGATCGTTTTCTTATTAACTATCATTTATATCAGCTCGATTGTTTCTTTCAGTCGCGTTCTTTGCTTTTTCTCGCAGGCCCGCTTCTTTTTCCAACAACTTATATCAGGAGTTAGCTATTGTCATTCAATGGTATGTTAGTTGCATGTTTTAGTTTTTCCTTTGTTTATTAGTTGTGCCATTTAGGGATTAATTTTTAATTGTTATTTATATTGTGGTGAAGCAAGTGTGTCACCGTGACTTAAAACTAGAGAACACCTTATTGGATGGAAGTACCGCTCCTCGTTTGAAGATTTGTGATTTTGGCTATTCCAAGGTACATAGCATAAATGTTACCGAATTGTTTCATTTGTGTCTGTCCTGCATCTCGATTACAGCTTAATCAAGTGGCGTTTCTCATTTCTGTTTATCAGACTCAACATGTAATTGCTTTATGGATATCCTAATAATTTCTCAGGAAAATTAATACTGAAATGGAGTTGTATATTTCAGACTTCATGTGAACTTTAGTTATGATACAAATATTTGTTTTTATCACTGCATCGAACAGCATTGTAATTAACAGTCATGCTTCACATTCAATTTTTTTATATGTAACAACTTGTATTTTTTTAATCCTTCAATTTATTTTCAGTCGTCAGTCCTGCATTCACAGCCGAAATCAACTGTTGGAACCCCTGCATATATTGCTCCAGAAGTTTTGCTCAAGAAGGAGTATGACGGCAAGGTAAATATTCTTGTCATTGATATCTTTGGCGTGGCATTATTCCCCTCCTGATCCTCATTGCCACTGTTATAAGCCAGATATATTTTGGTATTATACTTTATGCATCTATACTTAATCCTTGTGCTTCGTGAAAGTTCACTTTTATCTTCAAAACAACTAAAGATCATTTACTTTAATTGCATTCTCTATGGTCTGCATATGCATGTTTGGAGGATGCCTTCTATGAGGCCTAATGTTACTCTACTTGTCTAGGCTATTTTCTTCTTTGTTCCTTCGCTATTAGATGTTGCATGTGTTACACAGATTATTGATAGAACTCTTTCATTTTGCTATCCATGGATCTACTCTTTTGGCTCAACCTTTGTGTTACATCTGATGTTACCTGCACATGACAATTTGCTGAACCATATGGGCTAGCCTATTTTCTCGGATATTGTCAGTTAAAATCTCTTCTCTGTATATCCATCTTCCATTTCCAAGTTTTCTTTGCACTGTTGTGAGGTTCACATGATCCAACATCAAAATCCTATCATCAGGATAGAAAGAAACCACCTTGTCGGTGTACCACAGGGTGGTAAATTGTCATCTATTCATAGATTTAGATGGCAGATATAGATCTCTATCTATATGATTTATACGCAGGTCATTTCTTACTCCTTAATATCATGCTTCTCATCAAACTCTTCATCAGATATCCTTGCAATATTTTTATGCATTTAATAGAGGCTGGACTTGAACTTCTCCATGACCAACTGTACCCTCAATTTACTGGGAGCCTGGGAACCTGGGAGCGTCTTAGAATTATAAATAGAATAACTCCGTATTCATTACCTATCAATTCAGCTCGGATAGGCAACTCCAGATGGTGCAACAATTTGAACTCTTTTATCAATTTCAATTTCAAGAGTCAGTTTATGGGTTGAAACTAATGTTCCTCACTCGAATCCTTTTGTGTCAGTATTTCCTCATATGCTGTATATTATTTCCATTTAACTCTTTTAGTTCCCAAAAAACTCGTCAAAATCTTGTCAGGTGGATCATCTTTGTTCCTAACCAGAACTGCAACTGTTAATATTAGGAGAATTGTATTAATTGTTCTTCCCTACATGTTGAATGCCCCTTTTGTGGCCTCAAAACCTGAATACATCGTTCTTCTACTTCCTCTTAAATTGTCTTCTAAAATGCGTGCCAGCTAGATCAAAATTAGGTGTCTTTGGAAGTCACTGCACAAAAAAGCATAAGCTTGGGGTTTGACTGTCAATAATGAATGTCAAGCAAGCTAAATGCTCCCTCTCACATGCACCTTGCGTCATGTGGAAAGATAGTCAATGGAAACATGATTATTGTCATGATAGAATAAATGGCAATTAACATATATACTTCCAAATTGCTAATGCTGAAGTTTGAATATGATACCCGTTCAATTCCAGTGTCATAAAGTTCCTGCAACTAGACTTCATCTTAATATCACTAGACTAGAACTGCAACTGTGTAAATTAAGGGAATTGAATTAATTGGTTAACATTTCCTTACAAGTTGGATGCCCTTTTTTGGCCTTAAACCTGAACTCTCTGTGATTCTATTTTCCTTTAAATTATCTTCTTAAACTGCATGCTGGCTAGATCAAATTTGGGTGACTTTGGAAATCACAGCACAAAAAGCTTAAGTCTGTGGGTCATCTGAGAATAAAAAATGTCAAGTAGTCACGTGGAAAGGTATTCAATGAAAAGATGACTCATGGCATGACAGAAAAAATGGTGATAAATATTTATACTTCAAATTGATAATGTTGAAGTTCAAATCGGAAACCCGTTCAATTCCAGTGTCTTTTGCAGCTACGCCAAATTTGCAGTTGTAGTGAGCATGAAGGGACTTATATATAAGCTTTTAATATTTTGATTATTGTGTAAAATAAGGAACTTTCTGCTTCTTTAAGGTAATGCAAAACTAAACCATGATTTCATAAAATGTGAAACTAAAAATTCATAGATATCTCAACTTTAATGTTGGTAAATGATGTAAGCACTGAAACTGGGATTTCTATTCTCTATACAACTTCAAATTGCTAACCTTTCGGCTACTGTAAAATTCCATTGATTATTTCTGCATATTGTCTGTTGTTAATAGTTAACATAAAAGTCCCACAAGATCATCAACAATGTGGTGTTTATTTGAGGGTCTTCCAAAATGTGTACTGTACCGGGAGATCTTTAAGTGAAATATCAAAATTCATTCTAATTGAAGCAAAATATATTGGAAAAGATCACTTTGCTTGAAATCTTAGAATTCAAGTCATACTCATAGCTGTTGATCGATGCTCTATTTCCTGCACTTTTCTTCTCTTATTGACTCTTTCATCAACTTTTTCCTTTCCCATTATAATACCATTATTCTAAAAGCGTCAACTTAATTTTATAAGCAATAATGTCATATTCCTATAATCAATAATGCCATGTTATACGTTGGGGGATCTACTCTTGTGTCACATTGGGTCTACTTGCTTAGGAGGGAGGGAGGACTGTGATTTGCGGCTCTCATTGAGGTGTATTTTCTAAATGAAAAGCGTTAAATAGAGAGATGCTATTTTAGTGGGACCAGAGTGGAAACCTGGGAACATTGCCCTTCTTGTAGTTTTTATTTTGATCTAAAAGAAAGAGTCAGCTATTTGTCATTTTAGATGTCAGAGGAAATGGAACCGGTATGTGTTTGGATTTGACATGGTAGGATTAACAGAGGTTCTTCATATTAATCTTCATATTAAAACAATTTTCTAACAGATAACTGTTCTAAATGGATAACCCCCTACGTAGCATCTTTGGAGATCATGACGGCAGATCTTTGTGCTAGTATCTTGAATTGGTATACATATACCAATTATAATGGTTTAATTAGATTTCATAGTCTGCCTATACTGGTATTAAAAACTATATTACCTATTCTATGTGGTGATTTTTGATTCCACCAAATTTCAATGGGTAGATGTTTCTGTACGCCAGATATTTATGTGTGGATTTGTGTTGGTATTTTCACCAATTATGACGACAGATTGCTACTTGTTGAAATTCCTCCTGTGTAATTATCTCTTTATGTTGTGAGAATTGCTATTAATAACTGAGGCATCGTTAAAAGTTGTCATGGCCTAGTCTTCTGTTGACTAGTATCACATGTGTTAGCGCTTGCTTTTCTCATTGTATCATACTTTAAATTTTATTTTTATTTCTGCTCATGTTCTTTAGTTTGTTTAAAATCACAGATAGCAGATGTCTGGTCTTGTGGAGTTACTCTGTATGTGATGTTAGTGGGTGCATATCCATTCGAGGATCCTGAAGAGCCCAAGAATTTTCGGAAAACAATTCAGGTTACTTTTTACCATTTCATGAGATGAGGAGGATCCTGAAGAGCCCAAGAATTTTCGGAAAACAATTCAGGTTACTTTTTACCATTTCATGAGATGAGCCACCATTATATTCATTATACTAATAAGAAAACAATTCAGGTTACTTTTTACCATTTCATGAGATGAGCCACCATTATATTCATTATACTAATAACCCTTTTTTTGTGCAGCGTATATTGAATGTTCAATATTCAATTCCAGATTATGTTCACATATCTGAGGAGTGCCGGCACCTAATCTCTAGAATTTTTGTTGCTAATCCTGCTACGGTATGTACTTTGTGTTATAGACAATCCTTGTTGTGGAGTTACCTCTGTTGTGGAGAATACATGTGAAAAAAAATCCTATAGAGGGCCTTCTATAGTATATGGAATTAGGAGTAAGGAGAGGATGCCACTTGATATATCAACAGTCATTTGTCTATCAGCGCAGACAATAGTGACTGAACTGAAGGACATTCTTGATACATTCATTAAGATTCATGGCATGGCAGGCGTCCCTCTCTCCTTCCTCCATATACAATAATCTATAGAGTGGGCCTATATAGTATAGTTGCCATTGATTTGGTTGCTTGACCCAGTTACATCCCTAATATTTTGATTATCACGGGTTAATCTGTTAGGGTCGTCCAATTGTCTGGAGATTCTGATTCTACCTATTTCGCTTTCACTTAATACAGTATCGATTCTATCTGAACACCCCATACAATGGGGTAATCCGTACCATTCATGGGTGGTTAGAGGTTGGAGGGTTAGTTTGAGAACTTTTGCTATTCTGTTTGCAGTGCAAGCCACTTCACTCCTACAGTGATGGTTCTAATAGGATTCCTATTCCCTTTAATATTGCTTCACATTTTTTTTTACTCTTTTCAGAGGATATCAATGTCGGAGATACGCACCCACTCCTGGTTCTTGAAGAATCTTCCCGCAGACCTAATGGATGACAACATGATGAGCAACCAGTATGAGGAGCCCGATCAGCCTATGCAGAGTGTCGACGAGATAATGCAGATAATTGCAGAAGCTACTATCCCTGCAGCTGGAACTCGTGGCATCGGCCAGTTTATCACCGATAGCCTCGATATGGACGATGACATGGAGGACCTCGACTCTGATCCTGATCTTGATGTTGATAGCAGTGGCGAGATAGTCTATGCTATGTGATCAGTGTTGTTTTAGGATAGGGGAGTATCAAGAGGGTTTGATATATGTATGAACTTTGTGAGCAAAATGTGGAAAGGGGAAAGGTGTTCACTGCTAATTGTGCGTGCTTGTATTTTATAAGAACATATGAAGCTTGTTACTGCTGCAGCCTGCCCTATATATGCAATGTTTTTACCTCCTTTGTCATATATGCAGCTGTTATGGCCACGTGTTTTTACTCTATGTTCCTTGCTGCGTTGTTGTTTGCTGAATATGGGTTTAGACCCTCTTTTGTCATGTCTCTTCGGCGTTCTACTGGTTCGTCTGTGCCTTCTGACTTGCTGCGTCTCTTTTTGTCTACACTGGGGTCAGTCAAGGACGGTGTTAAAACTGTTATTTTCTGGCTTTCTACCCCTCAAATTGGATCTCGTATTGTTTCCTTACACAATTTGTACTGCGGTTGCAGAAAGATCCCCCCTCCTCTTTATGCGAGTGGATATAATCATTTTCTGTAAACTTGTCGTGCTTAAATTGTTTTGGAACATACTTTACTTGTTTGGGTGATAGTAAATTGGATCTCGTATTTTTTTTTTTTTGACAAGGGAACCGTTCCCAGGATGACCTGGGCACCTTACGCGGCCTAAACTGGGGTTCCCTTTCTCAGTCGTAAGAGTATAATGCTTCGACTACAGTTAAAAGTATTTTCAATGTTTGATTGTATTGTTCTGATTTAAAATGCTTTTTAAGACGAGGGTGGCTTGGATCGTTGCATGAACGGTAATCTAATCATAGCGTGTTCCCTGGAAATTGTGGTGCTTGATTGCTCCCAGGTGGAGCTCCAAGTGCATTAAGAAAAGAGCATCCGGGTCAATAGCTTCGAGTGGCCTCTCTACTATATCAGAGTGTGAGTACATAGGACAAAATAATCAGCTCATCCATTCGGGTATAGGCGAACTCTCAAACTTGGATGACATGCGATTAGCTGTTAAAATTTGGAATGAATTGTAGCTGTCTTGTCCTGCTATCAAAAGTAGAGGTCTCCGGCGCAGGTGAGCAAACGGCCGGTTTGGTCGTTTTTTCCCGGAATTTTACCACAACCAAAACCGAACCACTCCATATTTGAAACCGAACGGAACCGAACCGATAGGAAATTTCATTGGTCAATTTGGTTAGGTGTATTGTGTTGGGACTTGAACTAATTTATTAAGAAAATAGCCTATTTAATGCAAAAGAAAGATGCTTGTCAAGAAATCAGTGAAAGAAATATGTTGGTTAAGGCCTAAGGGATCGGCAAAAGAACAAGACAAATTAGTTGAAAGAATAATCTAACTTATATGTTGGTTAAGGCCTAAGGGATCGGCAAAAGAACAAGACAAATTAGTTGAAAGAATAATCTAACTTAAGAAAGAGAGAGAGATATAGAATTTGACCATTGAAGAGAAAGAATGAGCTTATTTTAGACAAATTGAGAGAACGGGCCGTTCCAGTTTTGTTTGTATTGAAGTTTCTCAAACGGATCGAAACATATCCTGAAACCGAACCAAACCGGAAAAAACCAATTTAAGGCTCGCCCCTGCTGTCCAGTGCCAAGCATATGATTGATGCATATTATTATTATTATTGTAGTTATTCGAGTAACATGGACCTTTGGATATCAACCAATGGCTGCGATTTCATCTAGGGATTGTTTAATTTATGAAAATTGCCCCCCCCCCTCCCTGCTCTCTCGACTATTTTCTTGACTCCGTCCTCCTCCCCTCCCTGCTCTCTTGACTGTTTTCTTGACCGTGTCGTGTCGCCTCTTCTGCCGCCTCAACGCTCGAAGATATTTATAACACCTCGAGATATTATTTCCCCCCCTTTCTACTCAAATTAGCTCCTTTGAAGAGAGGGAAAAAATGAGGGAAATTGTGACGATTCAAGTGGGAGACTTCGCCAATTACATCGGCTCCCACTTCTGGAACTTTCAGGTGAACCTCGTTCTCACTCGCCCTTCGATTTTTTAATCAGTTTCGGTATCGAGGTTTTCTTTTGAAAACCAGGAAAGCTGCGACCATTTCCTGAACTGAACTTTTTTTCTCCTCCTCTTGAAAGTTATGCTTGTATCCGTACGAACTAACAACAGTCAGCCGTGGTTGCTTATTATTAATTATGTGCATTCAGACTAATACTGGTTGTTGATATCCAAAATGACTGACCTTACACACTAATTGAGAGAGAGGTTGAAAGAATTGTAAAATGTAAGTTTGAAACCAATTTGTTGCTTTTGTGGATGGATGTGAAGCGTAATTTTAATCATTTAAATTATATTGGTCATCCGTCATTGTGCCCATAAGCAAGTGTTATTATTTAGACCCTGTTCTGAGATGTCACCTGGCCTAAACACAAACGATAGGTTTCATTGCAAAAGTAGATGTTTAGAACATTGTATGTCCGTGCGTCGCATTCGGTGTAGAATTTCCGGAAACCCTTCTTCTAGTATTTTTCTAACCATTTATCGATCTGGTACTTGTACAGATGTCACTTGGCCTGCAAGAAAGAACTATATGAAAATCAAGTACTGCTTATGTATGGATCTCAATGCATACAACGTTCACCATCCATATTCCAAAACCCTCGAATAGAGTAGGGTACTGAATAGATCTGTACAAGCACGACTTGAGATTATTTTGTCCTATATCCAGCCATAAAGTTCACTGAAATCCTCGTGTTTCGTTTTGTTCTTTGATATGTGGATGATCCCTACATATTAACTAGGTTGCAAGATCTTTAGAACATTATCTAGTTCGAGTACGACTTACTTAATTGTCAGATTGGTTATTCAGTTTCAGACTATATCCAGATCAAAACGAGTGCAATGTTTAGGGTTATTTGAAGTTCAAATCTTTTTGACTGTACAAATGTTTGGATCTGGGCATGGCACAAGTTACAGTCCTAAACAAGAGTGAAAGTCATCTATGCCTTATTTAGATATCAGTCCTTATTTAGGATTAGGTTTGACGTTATTCTGGGATCTAGAAAAAGATCCCAGGTCATGTAAAATAATGGAGACGTTATTCTGTTAGATTAACGCTTCTTGTAGACATGTAAGCAACTGCTTATTGCATTGCAATAGTAAAGGTTGAAACATGAATCCCTTTAAAAAATATTCAGCTATAAATGCACTTCAAATTCCTTTCAGCTATATTTGACGAGAAAGTGCATATGCTTATACCGTATATGTTTTATTTTGAATTTGTTAAATGTATCAATGCTTTTCTTGCTTTAAAACTTTTCTTAAATGAAAACCCTAAACAACTATGTTATGGTTAATTTGAAGGATGAGTTGCTTGGATTGGCCGAAGACCCACATGGAGATTCTATTTTTAGGAGTTCATCATTGAATATGGATGTCCTTTATCGTATTGGTGAGACACATCAGGTAGACTCGCTTATTGACTGTTTGCATCACATTTTGATTTATAACATAAATATTACATATGGATATTCTATAAATTTGGAATAATGACTTTGAACTTGCTA